TTTTCGGAAAATCACCTGATTTATATATCAGTGCTCAAGACAGGCTATAAATATGTGATCTTAATATTAAGTTTTAATAGTCTCGTAGTGATTAGTATAAAAATAAACTTTACGAAATGCTTATGCAAAGAGAAAGGAGCCTAAAAAGTCAAAAAAGCTTGAAAAAAACCATGAAAATTTCTCGAAAAATATGATAGTAGGAGCCAAGTTTTAGACGATAAGTTTGTCAAAATCAATTCATTTTTTGATAAATCATAGATATTCTGAAAGAGGAGACTTCGGTGCATCTTTCTATGATAAAACTTCAATTTCGACTCGTCTCCGAGAAATTGGATTTTCTGAGGGAGGGGCCCCCCTTAAGGTAAATCTTGATCTGTATTGTTTTTTTTTTGCTTAAATGAACTTCTAGGTGATTTTATGTTCAATAGTCGATCTAAATGTAGAAGATTATTGTTATCTATAAAACAAATGAAACGGACTATGAAGTATCAATTTCGAAAAAACTTCCCTCAACCAAAGTTATACTTTGCATAAATATAACCGACAAAGAAAAGACATACAAAATCTACTAGCTTGATCAAAAATAAATCAAAATATTTATAAGATAAAAGACAACAATGAGGTCTTAAACCTAATACACGGTTTTTTAATTTTTTGATTAATAGTCAATTGTATTCGATAAGGATTATTGTGGCCACTTCAACTTTTCCTATCATTATCACTATCATTATAACTAGATTCTATCGCTTGATAAGTGGCATAAGCACTGAGACTAGTATGCTTATAAACATAGACATGGTGATGTCTACTAAATTGAATGTCACAGTCGAGAAGTGGCAAGAAAAAATAGAAATATAAGCTTAAAACCCAATATGTTCATTATATTCTACTGACCAATATTTGATGAAAACAGTAGTGAAGAATTGTGAACAATATGATTGTTATCAATTTGTTTTGTTTGAAATTTTTTGAAATCATTAAATCTAAAAAGAAATTAAAAACAAAGCATTCATTTGTCTTGAGTTTTTTTGTTTCATTTGAAACGAAGACTTTTTCAAATTTTATTTCTATCATCAAACAAAGACAAAATTTACAGAATCACCACAGTTCATAGTTATCTGGGCATGATTTCTGAGTACACAGTTCATTTTAATTTCATTTTGGCTAGTTCGTTGGCAAAAGGATCACAAATGGAATCTTCATGCATAGATTTCTTCGAATGTACATGGACTGGCGATGCGACCGGTTGTAGAACCACATTCGATGACAAAGGATAGCCAAATAACTTTTCTGTTAACTAGGTATAGAAAAAAAAACATCGAAGCTACTAATTATCATCTAAATGATTTTTAATCAAACTTCTTCAAGCTTTTCTTTATCATTTTTTAAAGATGATGTATCCATATTTGTTGATAATGATCAAAAAATAAATAGTTATCTAGAAGAAAAACAAAAAACAATGATTTTAAAGATCTTTTTATTTAGACATTTCTTTCTTTCTCAAAAACTTTCTTTTATTTAAATAATATGAGATGGTTCATTAATAACTATTACAACATTATAATGAAGTGAATGTTGATCATCAGTTGTCCATCTGAAAATTGTATGATATGGTGAAGACTGATTGATTCGACTTAAGAAATTGCGAACTAATTCATCCATGCCTTCAATAAGATTATCTTCATGATCACTTTGAGTTAATATTTGTCCAGGCAAAATTGAAATAGGTGTTGAGACGTTTGAAGATGTAGACGAACTTTGTGACATAATTCGAACTTGATTGCTATGTGTTATTGGTGTCGATATTTGTTCACTGTGATTATTCGATGGTGGAGTGGCCGACATTAATATATGAACGAATATCTACAGTATTTCAAACAAGAAAAACATAATTCAGATCATATTAACAGCTAATAAGGTTACAGAATTTGATTTGAAGACATGATCCTCGAAAGTAGAAAGTTAGAAAAAGCAGAAAAAATAAAAGTATTTAGAAGTCGAGACTAAGGCGACGGCAATTTGTAAATAATATGTTTTCTATAGAAGAATAATTCCAAGAATCACAAGATGGTTTACGTGTTAAGAATGGTTTAAATGTGGTATAATGCTAGCCTTATGGTTCATGAGTTTATGACCATAATAAAGCACAATCTTTTTCTTTCTAAAATTTTGAACTCATTGTTGACATTTTGTGTCGGACATCATCTTCAGATCTGAAATATTAAAGAAAGCAGGTTATTTCTGATGATTGTTGCATTATAAATAGTATTGCAACGGATAATGTTTGTCTTTTGAATTACAATTAATTTAGGAGCATCAACTTTTAGATATTCGAAACCGTTTTTATTTATTAACAGAAGAAAAATAATTCATTTACAAGTGCAGTTTACATAGATATTCTTTGAATGCTAGAATGTTCTATTAACTAGCTGTTCTGCATCTTTGTAAGCATTTCTCTTGGAGGTTTCTTATGTATCATGAAAGTTTCAAGCGTTGGATTCGTACTGGTGACCAGTCGAACTTTAACATTTTTCATTATTGATACATTGTTTGCAAAGTATGTTCGCCACCATTGATAAAATATTTTGGGAAAATCGATTGGTATTGAACTGTCGTATCGGTAACGTGGGTACATGACATTGTTATCCCATATTCTAGGTTGCAATACTGTTGGTGATTCAATTGGATCTTGTAACATCATGTTCAGTTGCTTTTCACGTCGTGTTGGTTGATGTAACAATCTTTTATGTAAGCGATCATAAATTTCTTCATTTAAATCTTTTAATACAGGTATAGCATCATTTAAGTGGAAGAATCGAAAGAATGTTTTTGAAATAAGCTTTGGTGGATAATTATTTAATAATAGTGACAGATCAATATGAATACACTCTGAATTGAAGTCATGTACATTGGAACAAATCCGGGTGGCACGTAATAAAGCAGTGTATGGTATGTTACGAGGAATATGTCGTGGATGATCTGATGTATATGGCAATATATATGGTTCAGCCGCTGGTTTGTGATAGATAGATGTTCTCAATCGATTACTTTCATTTGCAACAGTAATATCTAAGAAATGAACTGATGTATCGATTTCATAGTTAATTTTTATATTAATATCTTTCTTGTTAGCTTTTTCGAGTTCTATTTTAATTTCATTTGAGTGTTGATTGGTTGTCATGAATATGTCATCAATGTATCTACATGAAATAAAATTTAGTAGATGGAGAAATTTTTTTCGTTTAATTAGTATTTAACAAACCTTCCATAGATTTCTTTATTTAATGCTTGATGTTTGAGTAAATCTTGTTCCCATTCATACATATAGATATTTGCTAACACTTGTGTAAATGCTGAGCCCATAGCTCCACCACGAGTTTGTTTATAATATTTATTATTGTAAGCAAAACAATTGTTATCCAATATTAAACGAGCCATCTTCATAATATGATCGATAGTGAATGTGCCGATTCTATTTTGTTGAGAATGTTTAATACAAAATCGAGCTAATACTTGTAATGCTCCTTCTCTAGGTATCATAGTATATAGATCATTAACATCAACGGTAATAAATTTTGTTGTCGATTGAAGATGACCATCTTTGACATACTTTTCTAATTTTCGAATGACATCGATTCCATTAATAAATGTTGTTTCACGAGCAATTTGCAAATAGATGGGTGCCAAAAGATCATTCAAAAACTTCGAGACCAATGTAACTGGCGCATGTATACATGCAACAATAGGTCTTAATGGTGTACCAGGCTACAAGAAAATAAAAAAAGAATGTAAATGATAGCATTTCGATTGTAATATAGTTACCTTATGCGGTTTAGG